GTTTGAACGACTTCAGCAGCGTGAGTGGAAAATATGTGGTTTCGTATAAGATCGTCTGTTTCTTTGTTGGGAATTCTAGCCAGAATTCCCCCAACCTTTTCGCGACAAAAGGTTTGAGCCTCGTGCCAAAACAGTTCGTCCGTGAACAAGTGATATTCAACGGTTCTGCCAGGTACGCGGCTACATGCCGTGTCATACAGTGCAATGTCTGAAAATAAAATATATTCGTTGAAATAAGACAGGTATATGAAAATACAATGTGTTCAATTACCGTTTCGATACAGAATATCCAAAAGGGAAGAGTCGCTGGTCAGGCAATTGGTAACGTTCACCGGTCAAGCTCAACAAAATGTTAACTGGTGAAAACACGCAACGAGAGTCCTCTCTAACCCTAACAGAAAAAAATGTTAATTCGCTGACAGAGAGACGTCTCAAATCCTGACAGCTGAAACCCTGTTAGGAAACCTCTTCATCCTCTGACAGAGACAACTCTCAATCCTTGAAAGACAGACATCTCAAATCCTGATTAAAAGACTTCTCAAACCAAGTAAGAGAGATGTCCCAAACTCAGCCAAAGTGAAATTTCAAACGCTGACAGAGAAAACTTCCCAACTCTGCAAAGAGATCTTTAACCCTGACAGAAAGACATTCTAAACCTTGAGAGAAATACTTCGAAAAATGATAACAAAGAAACCTTAATATGTGCTTTAATTAAAAACGATTTGATGGAATAAAACATACTTTTGAATTGAACTTGACAAATTAGCTCGAAAGGGAAGCATTACTCATGGATGAACTCTAACCAAAAAAGTAAAAAGTATTGTGCCCGTCCAATTGTAAATGGAGGATGATGGTAATAGTCAATTTGAAAGTGGAAGAATTCCCCTTCTTTTCGTTTTAAAATGCCATACATGGTGGTAAGATACAATACATACCTTGTGCAAAAATGAATGGCACCAACAACACACAGAGTACTGACGCCAAACAATTCATTCTGATATTACCAATGTTACTGGAATCTGTAAGCAAAAAATAGATAATAAGTAGAGTAAGAAAAACAACTAGAACGAATTAAAAAACAGTACGTTTCTAGGAATGTTATGTTTTCATATTGTACGTGCCGAACTTACATATAATCAGTTAGTGCAAAAGTGGTGATGTTAGGGAGTGTGTGAGTGTAATTTATAGAGAAATAAACTTGGTAGAACATCTGTCCAGCACACCCAACAAACATCCCAAGTACATATTTGGACAAAATTCGTGTCAACTTGATAATGCTTCTGTATAGTTATAAAAGCACAATGTTTTTTCGAGGGATTGAAATGAACTTATTTGAGGAGCATCAATTTTCAAATTACACCTGTGTTTTTATTTGTGGAAAACTGAAATGTCTACTACGTTACTTGTTTTGTTCAGCCCACTTAAAATCAAATGGC